GCCCTTTCGCCTCGTCCCAAGCTCAAGATGATGCACAGGACGGATGACGCCTCATCCGATGAGTCTAGCTTTCCCAAAAGTCGAAGATCGGCTGTTGTCACACTTCATGACGAGATCGAGTTTTGAACTATGGTCTTGGCATGGCTTACGCCGTGGCCTCGGACTATGGGGGGGATAATAAAGATTATTGTGATGGCGATTCGTAAGTGACGTCCGCACCCAGATGAGTCGCCCACTCCAACGCACTTATGCCATCTAGGCACAAAACTATCCATTTTTTCTGGTTGGTTACCTTAGACTAGTGTTAGGGTTTGAATCTGTCACACCCAATTTGGCCACTGCACCATAATCGTTATCGCCCTTACTCAACGTCCGAAATAGTTCTCGACTGGGACCCGAACAAGACAAAATTACGCCATTGGGTAACTATCGAACGTATTTCTCAGAGACGTCCCACCCTATATCCCCAGGGCTGGCTATGCATTACTCCCAACGTAATATGGATTACCAGCCCAACCATTTCGAGTCATTCGAAGCATTCCTTATTCCTTGCGCACCCAGAAGTGTTGTCTTGATTGAAACTCAACCGACGGTAATGAACGCCACTATGAGATATCACTGCATGGGCACCCTCGAACTTTTCTCAGACCCATCGAACTTTTACCTGATGATGGAGTGCAATTGGGAGGTGGCAGGAGTACACGATAATCCGTAGAGGCTGTGCCACCGCGGATACGGAGATATAAAGCTAAATCCCATCACACAGTTGCACCCATCAACCCAGATACCAATACCAATCTCCTCATATACACAGCGATGAGTGGCCCTCCCCCCGGGAAATATGTCCTTGAAGTTGCACTTGGTCCCAGGCCATCGATCGGCTCGGATTTTGTTGGTCCTCCCGTCGCACCTGTCGTTGTGGGCGGCCCCAACACAGTTGTAAGTCCATCGGTTTTCGTTCAGTGCCAACGATATTTGTATCATCCGTGCAACTCCCAATCTTCCTTCACACATGTTGGGGTCATGTACTGATTGGACCCCCGCTCGCTTGCAGTGGACCGTCCTTAAGTCGCAGGACGGAAACTACACGTTGTGCTTTCAAGAAGGCATACATAGGTACGCCCGAGAAGAATATGGGAACGTAGTTGTAAACCCGGAAAAACGACCTTCGGATGTCTGGTCCATTCGAGAACAGGAGGGTGGATTCTACACGTTAGTGTTTGTCTGCCTTTTGCTGTAGTACGTTACCCTTAACATCCAAATTATAATATCGCAGGATCGAGGTGCCCAACACTACCAGAGGCTGGACTCTGTACGATGCCCATCCCAATTCTTTTGTACGGAAAATCTGTCTATGAAGAATTATGGATGTTCACACCATTTACGTCACAGGTCGCTGTCGGCTACATCAACAACCAGGCCCCGGAGCTAGGCCAGCTATGGAAATTCCATCCGCGCTAGAACTAGAGCATCGCCAGAGGCTCAGAAGGAAGTAGCGAGGAAACCATTGTAATTGTATGACTGTCAGATGAACGACTCGGAGGCCGCAATCAGTTGTGTTTTACGTCGAATGGAAATATGTTGTATGAACGCTACGGTGCTTCAGACTGTTAACTTGTGAAAGTTAGTGGATCTACGAGGGACCCGATATGTGATTCGCGTAAGGACTTCGTGGGGATGAAAATATCCACCAAGCCCCACCTGCGAAATAGTGATTGACAAACTAAGATTTGATGATCGGATCAGTGCATCAGATTGCCGAAGGTATTGAGACCAATTGCAGCTTTGTGATGCCTGAGTGCCGGATTTTGTTGAATAATGCTCGTCTGAGCTGTCACGGCACGTGACTCGCGCAGAG